CATGCATAAATGCCTTCTTGAACCAGAGCAAAGCCATACTTGGCATGAGAGAAAGCAATTTTCTGCAACAAAAGTTAAATGCTCTATTTAAATTTTAATGGCTCTGATTGACCTTTTCTTTCTTTACTATTTATGACCTACATTCTTCTTCATTGTCTAAAATTATCAATTCATGTCAAGTTAATGGTGAAATGCTTGATGCCCTTGGAAATATCTGCTATTTCTTTTTAAATGACATGATTATTTTAATAATACTTGAAAGTGTATAATGTTTTCTGGGTCAAAGTTATCATGAATCAAACCAGTGCACCACTTTTTCCAAACTAGATGTAGAAATTTGTAATTTTACCTCCACTGCCACATAGGCTTCTTTTTTTGTTTGTTTGTTGTTTGTTGTTTTTTTGTGGATTTTTGTTTGTTTGTTTGTTTGCATTAATTTTATTATAACTACTGATAAGTACCCATAAAATAAATTGCCTAAGTTGGATTGCTGTGTTGGGTAACCTTTGATGAAACTGTCAGTTTTCTTGTGACATTTCTAAAAGGACTGCCATGTCACAAACAGCAAAGAGACTTAGAATTATGGTATTAGCCTTCAAAGCTGATTATTAATGTGTAACGCTTATTTCACTTAAATTGGCGTTCTGTGGAAGCTGACACATTTAACACCTGATCTTCAGTTACTTGTTCCAGTGATGGGGATAATTTACTGCCACCATGGAATATTTGGTATGCTGTTCTAAATGATGAAGGTGGAAAATGTCTCTTGGAGGAGTCACCAATTACATTTAACAATGACTTTTCAAATAGTTTCATGCATCTGCAAGCTTTTATGAAATGTGCATCCTGTACTGAGACAAATGAGATCCACTTAGAAACTTCTTCAAGTTAAGTTGAAATCCAGATTTTCAGCTACTTTCACTGCTGGCAAGGCTTTATATATTTAAGCTACAATCCTCATTCAGAAATTCCACATATTAAAATATAGATAGTAAAAGGACACCATGCATACTGTCTAATGTTTTCATTCCGTGGTTATAAAGTTGACTGCATTAGATACATAAGTGCTATAAATGTTAAAAGAAACATCTTTGTCTTCACCACTGATTTTGTTCTGATTCTCAGGGGAATGGTTAGCTACACTTAGCAGCTTTTTATTGACATACAGAACTTTGGTGTACAGTTACTAAAAATCCTTCCACATCTTCTGGAAGACTCCCATACTGGGCCAAGATTCCCTGGTCTGAGAATCACTGGAGTTTTAACGTAGGGAGATCTGAATAGGAAATATAGTTCGTAATAATAAGCTGAGATCATCTATTGCCCTTCAACAAGGAATTTATCTTATCGTTCTCTATAAAGGAAGAAATATAAACCTTAAAGTATAAATATAGATAACACAACTTTTGCCAGTATTTTTGTTTCCATATTTGATCACTTGATAATATTCGATACTTGAGCATGTTTTGCTTTAATCGGCTACAATATTTTTCATTTTTCCTTTGATTGGTTATTCCATTTTTCTTTTTCTTTTTTTTCTTTTTTTTTTTCGGTGGGAAAAAAAAAAATGAAAAGCATTAAGTCTACAAAACTTTTTTAATTTGAAACTGTTTTGGCCGGGGAATGCTACTTACCCCCCCCTTACTTCTACATCTTGCAATCTAGAAATATCTTTTTTCTTTATTGACAAAATTCATTAGCAATTACTTTAGTCAAGGTTCCAGAAGGTAAGTTTTTTCACAATTTTTTTATATGTGATTGGAGAATAAATAGCATCACACATTCAAAACTTCTTAGAACATTTACTTTACATAGTATTTTACTACAAGTATGACTTCCTGGTCCATTTTTGTACTTTCAGAAGGTTTTTGTTTCTATTCCTACTTTCTCCTTGCTATTCTTTTTCTACTGTTGACCCAAAATATTACAGTATTTAGATTTAAAGAAATAACTGATATGCAATGTTTGAAAATCATGGAATGAGGTTGAGATTTCCACACACACAGAAATATTTCTTCACTGTTTGACATTTGTCTAAATGCAGAATGGGAATGGTTACTGTGCAATTGTAGCTGATACAGCAAAAAATAGTATTCTTGCAACACCAGTATCTACTCAGAATTATATACTGAAAAAAATACTACTTCATTTTCTGCTACATCAGCTACAACATCAGGCCCTACTGTAGGTAATGTGCCAGGATTTGGCTAACACAGGAGCTTCTGAGGAGGTGAGATTGAGAGTGCCTGGTTAATTCATGGGCTTTATTGGACTTTAATGGACTCATTACTTCGAGGGTGGTTTCTTATTGTCTTTATCTTGGGGGTGGCTTTTTCACTTCAAGTAGATATGAAACAGGTTTACTTTCCAGTATTCTGGGTTGCATCTCATTTCTACCCAACTAATGGAATTCTTTCTTTTTCACCAGAAGTCCCAGGGAAATGCCACTTATTGTTTAGATAGATGGGAATGAAAGATAGATACAACAGCTTGGCTCATTTGTGATCTAAGAAGTAAATAAAGAAGTGCTTTAAAGGGAAGGGGCTTGTGAAAAATCAAGAATATATTCCTTTAGATGAAATGCGTTCAGATATTCCATTAATCATCAATGTGTGGATGCCAAATTCTATACAACTTGCCCTGTACATATGATCTTTTTTTTTTTTTTTTTTTTTTTTAATCCTAGCCATCTTAACAGCTTTCTATCATTTGCAATGATCACTCTTTCTGCATCTTTGCTCACTGTGCATATTGCATGTTTCTTTCAGGAGGGTTTCAGGAGAGCATAGCTGCCATGAGTGGAGTGCTTAATCAGAAAGTAGTATTAGTTTTACTCTGTGGGCAATTGCACCTGAAGGTGCTGAGAGGAAGAGATTTCTAGGATGTACAGTGGGATGGGTGGACAGAAGAGAATGGTCTAGATGGAGAGAAGTACAAGAAATTAGAAAGAGTAGACATACTCAGGTTTCAGTACCTCCCAAAAGTACATATTTCTGGCTACTGGAAATAAGGACTAAAAGGACATATAAATAATTATGCAAGGGCCATCAGGACACAGCAGAAAAGGAAAGAAATTGCTTATAACTTCTGCTTATTTCTGTTTTCTCCAGTGTACATGTACTGAGATATATTGAGATATTTCCTTGGGATACACTGAGCTGTACTAATTTGCAATCTAATAAAACATGACTTTTATCATAAAATAGCCTCCTGGACCTGTTTTGGCATGTCTGCTGTAAGGAAGAGGTCCAGGCACATTCACCTCTCAATTCCAGGGGATCTGGGAGCACTGTCAGAAATAATTTTACGCCTTACAAAACATCCTTACAAAACAATTGCTAAAGTATATGAATAACATGAATTTGAGGATAGTTTGCTGAATACATAGATTGAATGTATCTAATATTTTGATAAAATTCTGTATTTCATTAGTCTTTTGAATAAAACTCTTACATCAAACTGAAACTGCTAGACTACTGCAGTTTCTCAGTCACACAGTTGATGTTGGTGTACTGATAGATAGTCAATTGGATATGAGCTAGCAGAGTGCCCAGGTGGCCAAGAAAGTCAGTGGCATCCTGGCTTGTATAAGGAATGGTGTGGTGAGCAGGACTAGGGAAGTCATCCTGCCCTTGTACTCGGCACTGGTGAGACCTCACCTCGAGTACTGCATTCAGTTTTGGGCACCTCAATTCAGAAGGGACATTGAGGTGCTGGAGCAGATCCAAAGAAGGGCAGCAAGGCTTGTGAAGGGCTTGGAGAATATGTCCTATGAGGAGTAACTAAAGGAACTGAGGCTGTTTAGTCTGGGGAAATGGAGGCTGAGGGGAGATCTTATTGCTCTCTTCCAGTTCCTGAAAGGTGCTTACAGTGAGAGTGGGGTTGGTCTTTTCCCATTGGTGACAGGTGGCAGGATAAGGGGAAATGCCCTCAAGTAGCGCAGGACGTGCGGGGTGGGGGGGGAGAGTGATATCAGGAAAAACTTCTTTACAGAAAAGTTGGTCGAGCACTGGAATAGGCTCCCCACTGAGGTGGTTGAGTCACCATCCCTGGATGTGTTTGAAAACTGTTTGGATATGGAGCTCAAGGACATGATTTAGAGGAGGGTCATTAGAATTAGGGTAGTATGGTTAGGTTGTAGCTGGACTTGGTGATCTGTAATGTCTTTTCCAACTTGAGCAATTCTATGATTCTATGTCTGTGTGGCTTGTGGAGACTTCCTAGGTGAGCATTCTTTCTATTCCCCCTTTTATTCTTCACAAATCTCTGCATTTTGTTATATGGATTGTGTTTTCTGTTTTGTTGTTGTTTTGTTTTGTTTTTTTTTGGGGGGGGGTTAATATATAAATCTTTTGAAAAGTACTCTCACTTGATAATTTATTCAGACAATATTTGTTGGGTTCTTTTAAAAAAGGTGAGAGAAAGGCAGCAATCCAAATGAAAATCTGAATTGCAAATTATTTATCTGCCTGTAATGACTTATAAACAAAATTTAACAAAGCTGCCTATGTTTTTTTCATGCCTATATTCTGCAGAAGTTGCATCTGCTATGTAAACTATAACATTTCTAAGCATACTTTTAGGAAGAAGATAGGTAAACATGTAAAAGCTAAAAACAGAAGATAACACAGCATGATATATTTTAACAACCATTGGAAAAAATGTTTAAAGTGGGAAAATACATTCCATGGCTAGATTCCTATCTGAAGTGTAGATAATTTGGGGGAAAGACAGAGATATATTCAGCTCCCATAGACATGAAAGAAGTACAGTTTTACTGCATATTTAAACGATTCTTTTGGGACAGTGCACACACAGCAGTGATTTGTAGAAACTCGGATAATTTTTATGAGTATATCAGTGAACAACAGTAATTGCATTTTCTCCCTAATGAATTCAATTCAGAACAAAGATATAACAAACTTAAAGTTGGTCTCTGAGGACTTTTTTATTTGCCTGTAGGGCTTACACTGTTTTCTATGATTTTTTTTTTTTTAAAGGATCATCTGTTTCAACTGGAATCGCACAAATTTGAGAGAGGACGAGGCAGGTGCCCTTTTGACCCTACTTCTTCCTTCACTTCCATCTTAATTGGTAATGATCTTTATGTCACAAGCTTCATGGTCATGTCAATCTATCGTTTTGAGTATCTTTCTTCAGCATGCCAAGGTGTTGTCAGTCTTTCTCTGCTTTCCACATCACACTTAATCCTCACAGTGCTGCTGTGTTACATATCAGGCAGCGTTCATTCCAGCAAGAATGTTTCAGTGGAGTTAGTAGAGGTTAAATGGCATGTGTGATGTTGAAAAAGTAATTGTATAATTTTAGAAATAATTTCCTACTTTATTTCAAAGCAAAGCAATATGCCTAGCTTAGCCTTATACATCACTGAGATAAATATGCAAAGCTTACTGATTTTCACCTTTTGGGATGTAATCTGAATAATCTTGTAAATGTTAATTTTTTTCATTTATTTATTTATTTTTTAAAAGGCACTTATTGTTTATATAATGTATAGCATTTTTGAATTTGAAACAATTTTTTTCTGTGCTGTCTTCTAAGAAAACAAGTGATTTTCTATTGATCATATAATCAACAATTATAACAACAGAATTCAGTGTATTTCCTGCAGTGGCAGATATCTGTGCTGAGCTAGTGTTCCTCATTGCTTTGCTGGAAAGTTTATCACTGTAGGGCTGTGAACTTTGAAGTTGTAGTTCAGTAAACCATGTGGTTTTTTTTTTCCCTTTGTAATTTGTTCCTGAGAACATTTTGTGAGATGAAGCAAACATGGCAATATTATTGTACATTGGCTAAAAACACACTGGAACAGCAGGTAAAAGGTGGAATTTTGATACACTTAGAGAGTAACACAGTGGCTTTATATTTTCAGGAAATACAAATAAAATGAAAACTGAGCATTCAAAAAGAATAGTAATTGAAAGAAAGAGCTAGAAAAGAGAGGCTAAGGATCAAATAAATTTTAAGTTTTTCAAGGTTACAAAAAGGGAGGGACTGATTTTTACATTTCATTTAAAATATAAGAGTTGGAACTTTAGACAGCTAAAGTTTTTAATCATTAACTGAATTATTACAAATCACCCATGGTGCTGAGGAGGTACTGGTCATGAGTGACAAACACATATTTTTCTAAGCTAGGTTTATTTTTTCGTTTAAAACAACAAATTAGAATATTTACCAGTGATGCCAAATCTCTCAGATTGCTGCAATTCATCAAAATATTGTTCATTCCCATTATCAAACATTACAGCTCAAATTCTTGGGTTGTTGGCTTAGGAAGTCGTGAAAGAATCAGGGAAAAATTAGATTGTATTTTATCTGACCTTCCAAAATCCATTACGTACAACTGTTACGCCTTTCTTCCACTCTTATTTCCAAATTGTTTCTATAGTTTTTAACAGATTCCAGTCTTAGCTCAGCCTGAGTACAAGGGCTTATCCCATGGAATTTGCTGTAGGCCTGAAACCTCATGATCTTGGAAGTCCTTCTCAATCTTAACTGAGACATAACTAAGTAAATAAATTAACCTGACCATGTTCCTACTGTGAGATCAATGTGAATTTTATTTGCTCAAATGGAAGCCAGATTGTCCCACTGAGCATTTCAAGACTAGTGATTAGTTGTTGTGCTTCTGGTCTATTCATTACTGTGCCTGGATTATGGGAGGTCCTACGGATCTTCATGGTTTTATCTAAAGAGTAATTCACGAAAAAAGCCTTTCTTTTGTAAACGGTGATCTGTTTTGAACATCCAGTCAAAGACTTAGAAGATCAGTCTCACAAAGTGTTCTGTAATATGCAAGTTTAACATGGGAAAATAATATATTTTTATCACATCAGTGATACATATCCAAAAAACAGACAAACTTTTACCACTTCACAAAGACTAATAGGACCTGAGAAAACTATTTAGAGGCTTCCTTGATCCAATGGAAATTATTTTATTTCAAGTAATTATAGTGTTTTAAAAACAAAGCAACATTCTTTGACATGGTTTTTATATCTATAATTCTATTGGAATTAGATATTCCCAATAGTTAAGAAAAACATCCTAAGGAAGTTATTTCCATGTATCCTACTGTATTCTAATAACCAGAAACATACAGCTTACAGAATAAATAGAATTAACGCTGCTTCTTAAATTACAGTCTGTATGTCCTTTACCTCTGTACATATCCATTTGAAAATGGTCAAAGATAGAAATGCAAACATGTTTAATTAAAGAATCTTTTAATTGATTTTTGAAAACTTAGACTGATGTTTCTAATGCCAAATGCGCTCTAAAGAAAGGGATGCTCCTTCCTTCATCCCAATTCTTGTACCAGCTGATGGTGGCTGTGACCCCATGGCAGGACATGTCAACTGCACCATGCACTCCTCAGGACTGGTCTTCCAGTCCTCCATCCAACACTTGGATATTCTCTTCTTTTTCATACCCTCCAGTTTTCTTGGACATGAAAACTTCATTTAGTTGGTATGAAATATTTTTTCTTTGGAGGTTGTTTTCAAAGATGCCTTCACTGTTCCTTTCAGGCTCAGTTGTGTGCAAGTCCTTGAAAAAAAATTAAGCAAAACTTTTACCAAAGCCTTTCATATTCCAGCTTCTCTTTCTTCATAAAAACAATCCAAAACCTATTTCAACCTCTGTAAGAAACAGCTCTAACTTGCATTGACACAGCAATTTATACCTGTGTAGCTACTGATTAACAGTGAGGATTAGGCTAACAAAGAAACTTTATCTACTTCTGATAAAAGTTTGAAAGTTCTTCAGCTTTAAAGATCATTTGCACCATCCCTTATTAGAAACAGATTTAGCTAAATTAACTTATTAGCAAAGAGACTATATTGTGCTGTGTCTCTTCATTTATCTATCTCAACACTTCAGTTAAAATCCTCACTTCAAGTAAACAGTAGTTCAGGACTTTAAAACTATATCCACGTTTTTTTAAGCTTTATTATGTGTCATCTGACCCAATCGTAAAGTAGCTTGTAATGAATTTCCCAATTTATGAACAATTAACTTTTAACAATTTATTGTCACCATCAGGAAACAAAACAGATGTTAGATAGGTGCACATTTAGGTGAACTACATATTAAAAAGAAAATAAAATTATTTGTAGTGAACTCTACCATCTGTTTTCAATAGCTATAACTCTGTTTGATATCTGATCACACACACTGATTAACTTAGATCACACTACCTCTTGAAAGCTGAGAAATTAGCTTATGCCTATATTTTGCTACCTCAAATTTTTCACAAGTAAGTGATGATAAACCTTCCATCCAGGAAATCCATTCCAATAGTTTCTGTTATTTGCAGTCCTAGGGCAGTTTAATGTCTTGTGTATTTTAATTTACTTTAGACAGTGCACTAAAAATAAAGCAGTTTATCTCAGAACAGAAGACAAAAGTTGAGTGACAGAAAAAGTAAATATAGTCAGAAAATTTATTGGATAAGTAACTGCTTATTTATTTTGATTTTGTGGTCGTCTATAGTGAAAAATAAAATTTGCTAAAAATCTATGTCTCTTAGTCCGGTAAAACTAATGGTAATAGATAGAGCACATAAAACTTCAAAATTACCTTACAGTTTGAGAACTTCTGTTAAATAGAAACTCCAACAGTGGCTGAAGTTCATGGGCTATAGAGCCATCACATTAAAAACAATAAATACTAGTTCTTTGTTAGTAATAGGAGCCAAAGGTAAGATGGATGTAGTATGAACATATCCCTGTATAGGATGTAGTATGGACATTACAGTGAGAATAAAATAAAAAAGTACTTAATCCATAATATTTTCAGATCAAAGTAGCTTTATTCCTTATATAGTTAGTGCAGTTAACAGACACAAGAACAAAATCAGACTCTTGGCCTTGTATATTCTTTAAATTCACATGTTACGAAAGCCATTTTATGTGGATTAAAAACAGGTAAGTATAAGTAGACCTAAAACCAGTGAAAAGAGATACGACTCTTAATGCTTTACGTGTATATGTATGTTTATATATAAGTCCTGTGTATTAATTTGATGCATCTTTAAATAATTATATTTTTTTATGATTGCACATATACCTCGAATTCACTGACCTAGACCAGCTTGGGCCGAAGAAACCCCCTTTAGGAATATAAATTGGGGGATGAAAGGGTTAAGCGCAGCTCTGCTAAAAAAAAAAAAAAAAAAAAAAAAAAATGGGGGATACTGGTGGATAGGAAGCTGTAAATGAGCCAGCTGTAAATGAGCCTGGCAGCTCAGAAAGCCAACCGTATCCTGGGCTGCATCAGAAGAAACATGGCCAGCACGGTGAGGAAGGTGATCCTGCCCCTCTGCTCTGTGCTGGTGAGGCCTCACCTGGAGTACTGTGTCAGGATGGGGAGTCCTCAATACAGGAGAGACATGGACCTTTTGAAACATGTACAGAGGAGGGCCACAAAAATGATCCATGGAATAGAACACCTCTCCTACGAGTACAGGCTGAGAGAGCAGGGCTGTGAGAAAAGGCTGTGAAGTGACCCGAGAGAGGATTTTCAGTATCTGAAGGGGAGCTAGAGAAAGAAAGGGACAGACTCTTTAGCAAGGTCTGTGATGACAGAATAAGTGGAAATGGCTTCAAGCTCAAACAGAGTAGATTTAGGTTGGATGTAAGGAAAAAATCTTTTACAGTAAGGATGGTGAGGCACTGGAACAGGTTGTCCAGAGATGTGGTGGATGCCCCTAGTCCCTAGGGACTTTTAAGGCACAGCTAGATCCGGCCCTGGGCAACCTGATCTAGCTGTTTATGTCCCTTCCCTGTTCATTGCAGGGGCGCTGGACTAGATGACTTTTGAGGGTTCCTTCCAACTCTAAGGATTCTGTGATTCTGTTGCATATGGCTATGGTGTATAACTGCAACATTCCAATAATTAATTAAGCAACAAAAAGTAGGGGAAAAAATAATTTAACTGAAGTGTAGCTCACAGACTATTACATGATCTTTGACATTTTATCAACATTTTCTGTAGTTTCTGATATCTTAGGCATCAGTCTATTCAAGGGTTGTTATCCAGGAATTCTAGGCTTCAGATAAAAATTGGGTTTGATTGAACAAAAATGGGCTTTATTCTTTAATCCAAGAACATGGAAAAAATACAGGTGCCTTGTAAACAAACCCTGCAGAATTTTGATGTATTTACTTGCTTGAAACAAAATAAAAGTGTTTAAAAGTGTGTACATATCATAGAATCATAGAATCCTTGGAGTTGGAAGGGGCCTTTAAATGTTATCTAGTCCCATCTAATCCCTATCTCTCTCAGCCTGTCCTCGTAGGAGAGGTGTTCCATCCCTTGGATTATTTTTGTGGCCCTCCTCTGGGCATGCTTCAACAGGTCCATTTCTCTCCTGTACTGAGGACTCCACATCTGGACACGATACTGCTACTATATCACTTGAGCTAAAACTACTTTTGTGTGTATATGTGTGATTTTCAGTTTGGTTTTGAGAGATATGAGATTTTTATTTGTTTAAATAAGGCAAAAAAAAGAAAGTCTTAATTCTTGTTTCATCAGGTGTAACCAGAATGCGTTAAACTTAACTGTAGCCATTAATTTGTCAAGTATGTGTACACGTAATTCCTCACTGATGCTATAATTTTTCTGGAAAAGAGGAAGAATGGTGATGGTCTGTGAAATCACTCAATTTGCAGTTGATTTTTCCTGGAAGACACTGGCTTAACAGTGATCTGCAGCACTATAAACTTTGCAACTAAGATAGATGTGAGCTGATATGTAGTACCAACAGAGGAGAAAAAAATAGAAATAGTGCTAAGATTTTTCAAAACACAACCTCAACTTGTCTCTAAAACTAGAAATAGTCAGCGCTTTTAAAAACCTAACTGTTCAAGATTCACAGCATTCACTTAAAAGTCATGGGCAGAGAGCTATTGAACAGAAAAAGAGAAGATCCGCTTAATGTAAAAAGTGTGAGATCTCAGAATTATGCTTAATACACTTGTGCCACATTGTTCATCTCTCTCTCTAGGCCTTCTTTTCACTCTTGTTACTTATGTTTAACTTAGAAATACTTCATTATAAAAAGTCAGATTTAATGTCTGTATCTGTAAATTATCTTCCGTGAAACAAAATCCATCCAAGATTTCAGTTTATTTCTCCTGGAATCTCAAAGGTAAAATCAGTGATAACTTGCCCAGTATAAGGTGGGGTGACATACCAGCAGATAATTATGTATACAGATACATTATACCTATGTCAAATAGATTGAATAGCCTCCCCATCTGATCTTTTGTATAGCTGCTAATTAGTACTGATCACTAGCAAAATGTGAAGAATTATCTAGCCTGCATGAATGCACTTTCCCCATTATCCTACTGTGTTGAAAAGACAACAGGCTCATTTTTATTATACATCAACATAATTTACCAAAAAAACTGAACAAGAAGAAAACAAAAATTATATAGTCGAATTCTTAGAGAGGAATTTATGACTAATGTAATTCATTAATTAGGATTCTAACATTTGCTTGGAACATTATTCAGATACTGGTGTGTCCTTCTGTTTAAGCACCTCTGTGTTTTTGTTGTTGTTGTCGTTTTTTTAAGTAAAGCTTTCCATTAGTTCTACTGGTGCTATAATTTATACTTACTTTTAATTTCACTTGGCAATATTTTACACTGAATTACCACCGTGTATTTTACAAGATAATATCCATTCTTCATAAAGCGAAGCCTAGGGGAAAACTATGCTCAGCAGAGGTCTCTGAACCAGCCCCAGCTGCCAAACTACTCTAAACTGTTCAGAATAATTATTTAGAGTTATTATACCATTAAATTCATATATATCTCTTAAAATAAACAAATTTCACACACTGAGGGAGACCAACAAGCAACATTCTTGCTTTTGCTGCAATCGTTTACAAATGCCAGCAAATGTTATTTGAAATGACGAGTCATTTGTTTTGCTTAAGGAGTAGGAAACTGCGCCACTGAAATCTCCACTCAGATAAGCCAAGAACTGGCAATAACTAATTTCCTTCTCGTGCAGGGTAATTCCTGCTGCGTTGTTTTCTGACATAAGGATGCCACCTACTGACCAACATTTTCAGCTTTTTAATTTAGGCCTAAGAAATTTATATTCTAATTCCAAACGGGTATGAAGTAAATTACTCTTACTGCTTGATTAGTTTATAGGGAATCACACCCATGAATAGAAAAAAAATATTGTTATATCTGACTCAGATAGTGATAGGCCAGACTTCTGAGCATATGTGTTCAGTGCTTATATCTAATGATATATAAATTTTCAAGTTATTGGCAATCAATATATCTTACAATAATTCACTACACTTGTGTAATTCATAAATGCCCTTTTGAAAATCAGCCCCTGTTCTGCTCTCATAACTTTGCCAGCAAATATTTGCCACCCGATGTACAGATCTCAGATCCTGTCCCTACTCTGGTGAATGGCTTATAGATATGAAAACAAGTCATTGCTAGGCCAGAGAAAAATAGGCTTATTTAGAATCACAGAATTATTGAATCATAGAATCCTTAGAGTTGGAAGGGACCTCTAAGAGCCATCCATTCACTTGCCCTCTGACCACCTAAGTATTTCATCCAGCAAAATACAGCCAGATGTAGCTATCCCAGGTAAAGTAGAACAGATCCAGCAGTCTAAAGGGAAAGCATCTCAGCCTAATAAAACTTGTGCTTCTTTATAGAAATGAACTCTAAACTGGCAGGTGCAGTTTCTTATCTCTCCAACCAGGGAGAAAACTCCGTCTCTAAAATACTCATATACCCCGCATCTAGTTCTGGGACCGAGCAATACTCTGCTCCTCATTAACAAGACAAATTCATATCTATAAGTGCTCAGAAGCAAACCATGGGTCAGGGGCACATCACTGGTGAAATCTTAGGTTCTGATAAAGAGTAGGTATCTCAGGGCCAGGCACTAACTGAATTGAGAGTGAGATAATTGTGTTTAGGCACTTGATGTTACAGATGTTATTGCTCTATATGTGGTTGTCATTTTAATGCTTTCACATTTTTTGTGCAAATCTATTCCAAAGACATTGCTTTTTGTCACAAAATTAAAAATTGTTGACCTCATAGTGTTTCAACTGTAAGCTCTACAGTGCTGATAGGAACAATGACTATAAACCTTTAAATTGCATGTAACTTACTGACACTTTCTCATCCCTTTTTGAGCAAACAATAGTGAGCCATGCTTATAATGTAATGTCCACAGTATTTAAGGAAATTATATCGTTATAAAGTAGAGAATTATCACATTTGTTTGCTTGGTTTTTTATTTGTTTTATATGTGGTCTACAGGTGGTGAACTTTTTACTGGTCTCTATAGTGACTACTGGGGAAGAGATGCTGCTGTCTTTCGCACCATGAATCGTATGGCACAACTCCGAACAGAACCAGATAGTGAGCGCCTGTTGAAAGGTACAGAAAATAGGAGAAGAAAGAACATGGAACCAGTAGTGCTTTGCATGACTAGAGAAATTCTATTTATCCAGAAACTTAAATGATATTGTCCTTGCATGGGTATATCTCATTGGACATAAATATTTTTAGAATATCTTTTTTTTTCTTTTTTCCCATGAAATTTTTCATTAATCTTCTGCTACAATTAACAAACTGAAAGCTTTATTCTGATTACATATTAGCTTTAAGAACTGAAACTTCGAAATCCTCCATTTTTCACTTTTAAAAGTGTACTCTGGATGTTCCATATTATTTCATGACTCCAGATATGATTAAAATACTATTTTAAACATTTCTAATTGATTAGAATTTTTAATTAGAACATGCTGCTCTTTTTTTCAATACGAGGTCATTTCCTCTTTATGTTGCAATCAAACAACTGAATCTTCACCACATTCTGTGCTAAAGAGGTGTTATGCAACAACATAAAATAATAAAAATGCAATGATCATACAGTTAAATGAAATAGAAATTAAAGCAGATTATTTAGATGAAAAATAAAAAATTATTGCACAAGAAAAATCACTGAGAAAATTCCTATGCTGGAGAACTTACTTAGAAAATAATTCATGCTTTTCAACATGGAATGTAATTGAATTCAAAAGAATTTAAATTGCTTTGCAATTAAGAGCCAGACTCTGGATTTTTCTCACTCCAAAAATTTTGCAATAATTCATCCTAGAAGTGACGTAACTGCAGCTAACGTTTGGTAAGGAGATTCAATAATTTTATTTTATGGTGGTTCATCTGGTGGTTCATCTTTTCAACGAACATAGCTAGAAAGGACATTTTTTCTCTCAAATGTCAGGAAGGTTTTCTCTGGAATCAGAAGAGAGAGAAAAGTTTATGTGTTTTTTTCCTGCATGAATTTGAAATCATACTTGAATTCATCTTATAAAAGCATGTTTGGAATATTATGATATCCACTGTAAGCTCAATACTTAGATCCTTGCTGAACTCAGTGTTAAGACCAGCTATACATGCAGTAACAACAACATAAATGTCTCAATATGGAAGTAAAGTTGTTTTTCTCTCTGGAAGCTGCAATTCCTTTAAGTATGGAATTCTCTGTGTTGTGCCTCAAACTTTGTTTTTAATTTACACCATATTTGACATTTAAATCTGTGACGTATTTAAATCTATATTGGAAAACGTGAGAAAATTAGCAAGCAAAAATTCTCTATCCGTATCTTAAAACAGTGGCTATTTTTCATAAGGAACAAGAACTTAGAAAATATTTATATTACCAACTGCTTCTTAAGAAATTGTACTAATTACATGAACTACATCTGTGTAATTAACATGTACTATTACATTCTCATTTAAGGAGTTAGTAAAAAATTTGCAATGATTCTATGAGTTTAAATCATTCACAGCTTACCATGATGTGGGGTTAAAAGTTATGGAGCACACATCAAAGTTAGTACTTAGGCTTCAACTCTGTAGCAAAATGTGAAAGCAGGGAAATCTCAGAAGGTTTTTATTTTATTTCACGACAAAAAAATACACAATGTGTCTTCTGTCTATGAAGATATGTGTTTATATTACAATTATTAGCTGAACTTAAATTAGCTGTTTTTCCGAAGTTAGCATTCCTGTGCATGATTTGTATGGAACCAGAGATTGTTATGTGAATATTATTGCCGGGTTTTAGCCTAACTCAAATAGAAAAGCCCTGGAGAACAAAAAATGGAAAGAGATCTTTTTCTTACATACATACACATTGACCTGTGAATCAGAGTGATAAAAATAGTTTTACTTTAATGTATTCCACATGTCCTATAGGTATCCACATTCCAATAATTTGATTTTTTCCTATTTTTACCACCCTGTTTCACTCAGGTAACTCTCCAACTGACATGTCCCTGACTCTTCCATTTTCTTTTTTTCTTTGCTACCAGTTGATTTTAAGGACTGAAAAGAAAATTTTAAAAAAAAAAAAAGAAAAAATGTTTTAATGAACTTTATCTGAATTTAATTTTGTTTTCTTTCGAAGAACCGAAGTTTGTTGGCTCATACATGATTCCTGACAATGAAGACCACGACGATAACAAAGTGTATTTCTTCTTTACTGAAAAAGCATTAGAGGCTGAGACAAGCACTCATGCCATTTACACCAGAGTGGGACGTGTGTGTGTGGTGAGAACCTTTTTCTGATACCCCAGCTGAATAGGGAAAAAAAAAAAAAAAAAAAAAAAAAAAGTATTCTCCTTTCTTTTTTCTTTGTCTCCCAGGCAATATGGCACCTGATAATGTACAGGAGATTATAGACCTGACTGAAAACTCTGCTTCTCAATGTCCTCAAATATTATAAAATTCAAAAATAGCCCAAAATTTAGTCTTGAAACAAATTCTCCTTGAGAGATGAAAATAAAGTTCAGAGACCCTATTATTCAATTCCATGTCTCTTTGAGTTGATATGTGATAGCAATAAGAACAGTTCACCACAGGACTCATTTACCATTATAGATTCTCAATTCAAACCAAGGCTCCATTGTTCCTAACACTGTCAGCAGGTCCTTCTGTATCTCTCACAGCTGACATTAACTGATGTCCCCTCATACTTCTGTTGACAGGACCAGCCCAGCCACAAGTTCTCTCTGATGCTTCCTCTCACTTTTCTACTCTGTCAGCATGAAGCAGACTTGACTCAATAGCATTTATGCAGGGTTGACAGCTATCCAACCAGATATCCTTTTGTAGCCAGTACAACAGGACAAGAGGCAATGGGCACTGACTGAAATATCCATATTCTATCTGACCATAAGAAATCACTTTTTTCTTGTATTAGAATGGTTGCACAGAGAGGTTGTGGAGCGTCTGTCCTTGGAGATATTCAAAATCCATCTGATTATGACCCTGAGTGACTTTCTGTAGAAGACTCAATTTTGCAGGCTAGTTGGACTAAAAAATATCCAAAAGTTCCTGCCAAATTCATGGTTCTGTCATTCTGGGATTCTGTAAATTTCAAATATCTTTCTGATGCATCTATAGACTGTTTTCTAAATAATAGCTAATTGCTTTTATTTAATATATGATTCCTCTTCCTCTCAACATCCTATAAGGAGGAATGTGCATAAAAAGGAAACTAGAACAAAGGATTGAATTGTCTAGAAAAGAGAAGTTTATTTCTTAGCATCCAACTTAATTTTTGAAATAAATTGTGTTCCTTCCTAACTGTGGAAGATAATTTCCTAAAACTAATGGGCAAAGAACAAGATACAAGATAAAAAATGTTCCTTCAACCCATGTTGTACGTCACATATGCCCACCAACATACTACTTGTTAAAATATCTTTAAATGTGTCCATATATAACTTAAAACAGAGCATACAGAGTACCAAATAGGGCCTAAGACATTATCATTCTCATAGGCTGTTGGCTTTCTGAATTCAAGAAGGCATCAAGGCCTGAAGCCAAATTCTTTGCCCTATGTTCTGGTATATGTCAAAATAGATTATTTTGATAACTCCCTCTAGTCTGAAATATATTGATCCGAATGTCTTATCTCTAGCCAAGGGTTAGACCAAAATCCCACAGATCTTTCTCCTCCACATGTCCAAAACTCTGAATGATTTATCCTCCCGACATTACCTTAACAGCCTTCACTCTGTATGCTGCACTTCAAATTTGATTTCATGAGTATAAAAAGTCAAGAGCTAGCTAGTGATTTGAGAACCGGTCTTTTTATCAGCTTTTACATTTTCATTTGTGTTGTAACAGGTTTTACAACTCAGAGGCATCTATCCTGCATATATCTTCTTTTCCAAGGAAAATGGATTTTTTTTTTTTTTTTTTTAGGATGTCAATGTGAAGATGAGAAAATCCATTAATTTCAGTAGTATAAAGTTGTGAGAGGAATTTAGCAAGCCTCTTACAGAACCTTCAGTATGCACTTACACAACCCACCTCAGTATCAGGCCATAGCTACTGAGAATGCTATTTAAAGTTGAAGTCTGACTGCTGAGTTAAAAGCATCATTTTATTAACAAACCCAAGAGAAAAGAAAAGAAAAACAAAAAAGTGTCAGCCATAGTAAAGTGGGAATTAAAGTTGCTGAAAAATTGCTAAATTGTTAGAACATCTTATAGACACTTGCCTCAGACTTTTCCAGCTGTACCAGCTGTATAAGTTCAGGGCTTCAGTTTCCAACAATGTTCATTAAACCTTGCAATGAGTGCCTGAAGCAGAATTAAGTTTTGTTAGCGTACTCATTACATCCAGTTAACCAAAAAAGAGAAGGTTTACAACAGCTGTATTTTTAATCTATGCAGGGATGCAATACCGAATTTAAAAATTCTTACAAACCCACAAGTCTTATAAAGCCTGGACTTCATCAGTGCAATCTTGCTTGCATCTTACCATCTCCAAAGCAGATGGACTGTACTAGTAATGGACACGTGGTCTGAAAATGCATGCTTTTGACATTAAGAGATACGAGAGACTAATTCAGAGGAGATGTTTGTGCTTCTAGAGTTATTTAAATTACCATAAGTGTTTGTTTCTTTTTATGCAGAATGACATGGGAGGACAGCGAATGCTTGTGAATAAATGGAGCACTTTCCTCAAAACCAGACTAGTTTGTTCTGTGCCTGGGAGAAATGGAATTGATACGCATTTTGATGAATTAGGTAAATACCCTAAACTGCAACAAACTTAAAATAATTGTAGAAAAATATGTACATTCATGATAACACATCTTAGTTTATACTGTACATGTTTTCATTAGTAGAAAACAGACATATGGAGTTGGTTGTCATCAATTATGGCTTTACTCATTGTATTGTTTTTAAAGAATGCATCTAATATCTACATTAAAAAATAGCATATGTAAGTTAAATAAGATTACCCCTGCAACAAACAATGAAGTGCCTCTTTTGGGACTGAGAAAATTAGTTTGCTGTTAATAATATTTATATTTTACAGAGGATGTGTTTTTGCTGCAAACTCGTGATAACAAAAATCCAGTGATATTTGGCCTCTTCAGCACTACAAGGTAAACAACTAGAAGAAAAAATAGCAGCAGTAGAGGAATGTTTGAACAGGCTATCGAACAGACAGAAGAGCTTCATGATGAATATCACAGAGAAAATACATAGCAAACAGTTTAATCCCTATTAACAAGAAAGACCACAGTGGTCTTTCTTGTTAATGTGAAAACTGCTTTTTGATGGTGGCTTGAAGTCTCATATCATGATACAGTTTATCTGTTTCCCAGAAAACATGAATTAACTAAGTATTTCTCTAACTGATAACTTTCTAGTGCCAACATTTAAGCTCTCCTGCATGGTTATAAGAGCAGTCTATGAAAACCACCTGCCTTCCTTGAAGAGCTCCACTGTAATTCAGCATTAAGTAGATAGTAGCTTAAATTCCTGTTAACTTCTTAGCATAATCTAAATCATTAGCTGTGGTGTTGCTGGTGGCCTCCTTTTCCAAATCAGTGCAATCCAAGTGCAAGCTTGTTTCTTGGAGATCTAACTTTAGGATGTAACTGATAGAGAGGAGCAGCTATGCTATGGCCGGTATTTCGCTTTGTTGTTTCATTGTTTTTTAAGAAAGATGGACAAATATAGTCCTCTAAGGAAATTTCCACATATCAGTTCTTTCTGGCTCTCTATGCCAGCAGGAAGAGGTGAACACCTAACTAAAATTATCTGGATCACCTTCTGGAGACTTCAGAGATAACTGTTTTGCAAGGAGCATTGATGTTTCTTTAAAAATAATGAATTGCTTCTCCAGAATTAAGAGTGTCAGATGTATAAAATTTGAAAGGAAAAAGATATTATATGTAGATTGACCTACACAGATTAGTCTTTATGATCTAATAATTCTGACCAGCATTCCCATACACTGACACAAAGACATAAAAGACCTGAGTTGAGTTTTCTGAGTTTCCTGCCATTCCTCTCTCATATTTAGAGCCTGTGATCATCAGCCTGAAATTTGGACATAAAAACACTGAGCTTTCTCAGAGAAGTATTATAAACATATATATATATTAATATTTTATAAACAACACTGCATATAGTAGTTGCAAGAAAAGCATACAGGAAAAATATTTTTTTTTTCCCTGAATACTGTTGATGTGAGACTTCTTTTTAATTACATAATAATAAAAGTATAACATGTAGCAAATACAGCATACTGTTTTAACAATGTCTCTGAATTTTACTTCATAGCAATATATTTAGAGGATATGCTATATGTGTTTACCATATGGCAAGCGTCCGAGCAGCCTTCAATGGACCATATGCTCATAAAGAAGGACCAGAATACCACTGGGCTCTATACGAAGGGAAAGTACCTTATCCTAGACCTGGTTCAGTAAGTACAATCTATTTTCCATGCTTTTGTTAATGTAAATGAACTTAGGAAGAAAAAGCAGTTAAATATACAGGATTTTTCAAAATCTTACTGGGACCTAAATTCAGAAATTTTGTGTTAAGGGCCCAATATCCTGAAGATAAAAGAAAATGCAAGGGAAAAGGGAAAGGGGAAATGGAAAGGGAAAGGGAAAAGAAAGGGAAGAAAAAGAAGTTTCTGAAGTTTTTATTTTTCTCATATTCTTAGCCCAGGAATTTCATGTCCTACCTCAGTGGGGAGGAGATCAGTGGTGCGTGAGGGTGCCCTTTGCATTGTGGGCATCCATCATCATTTCACAGATTGTGCACATCCAGGGCCTCCTTCACCTTCCCCTTCCTGCTGTAAGTCCTACAACAGGCAATGCCAGAATAACCCAGAGAGAAGCATCACTATTTCTTCTTGTCCAACATCTTTTGGCAATACGACCTACAAAGGAGCTTTTCTTTACAGTCATTGAAGTTCTATCCTTTAATGTGTCCATATTGTGCAGATATTTTATTCTGTGAGATGCAAAGACGTTTCTAATAGCTGTTTGGCTAAAACCCACACATAGCTTTCACAGTTCACCTCTTTTATCTTCTCACAGGCTAAGAACTTGCTCTATTGAGCTTAACGGTGGAATAAGCAGTTGCTGAAGCATTACTTTCAGTGTTGTTTTTCCTTCTATAACTGAATCAATATTCTCTTTTGCACTAAAAGCAATCATTTGCAGAAGTAAACATTTATCCCCAAATCACAGGAATGAGAGATTAAAGGGCCTATTAGCTTATCTAGTCCATGCCAGTAAAAATTTTCTCTCTACAATACAATTTTAAATGCATTCCTCTCTTATTTTAAATTACTGTTTATGTCTTCTTCTACTGGAGTTAGAGAAATAAGTCGAAGTACAGAATTGGATGCTAAAAAAGAGATTATCTTGGGTTCAAATGTTATCATTTGACCATCTTGACCACTGTAATTATGCTGATACCAATACCAAATGTTGGGGTTTTTTTTTTGGATTTTTTTTTTTTTTTTTTTTTTAAATTACTTAATGTTGATTGAAGTAAATCATCAGTATTGAGTCAGAATGGAAAAACAGATAAATGTTTATCAAATTTTGAGCAAAACACTATAATTCACAGCAATTAAAGTTTTCTTCTTTGACATATTTAATAGAAAATTTCAGTTTTTACAGTTTTACCAAGTAATGAGATAATATTATGCATGGATTGTAAAATGGGTGTATATTTTACAAAGATGACATGATACAAGTTCTCTAAGTAGTATTCATTTTATCTGCAGGCAGTAAACCTCTCATACGTTGTTTCAACTGGAGCTGAAATAGGCAGGAATTCAGTATTAATGGCTACAGTAGCACACAGATAGCATTACTTTTATTGAAGATTGAAAACCATTTGTTGGCAAGAAGGACAGAACGTTGAGCCAGCAATTGAGCAAAGCTGACAGTGATTTACAGAAAGGCTCTATTAAGATCCACTCAGAATCAATTCTTCCTTGGCTCTGAATACCCACATTTCTTTCATAGTAGATTGAAGACTCCCTAACAGGCAAGGCACAGGAGCTGAAGCAGATATAAAAAAAGAGAGCAAATAATTTTCCCAAAAGAAGTATTTCTCGAGTATTAATCAGTTAATCATATTTGTCTATAAGTTGCAGAGCACATCACAGGCTGGAGTGGCTGACTATGCCAGCTAATAGAAAATTAATTCATTTTTGGCTGCTCATCAAGGGTACAGCTTAGAGGTCTTTTCAACACTTTTCCAGTAGCAAGAAGTGAAACTGTAGTCCATAATCTGTTTCCAAAGAACAGGTCAGTGTATTGGTAAGGTGAATCATAGAATTGTTTGAGTTAGAAGGGACCTTAAAGGTCATCTAGTCCAACTCCCAACTACCTATTACCTTTTCCATTACAAAGGTGACAGTGACAAGAGGCCAGAAATACCTATTATTAGGCATCTCTGTGATTCAGCGCTCTTTCATCTCAGCTATTGAATGGGAAAAAAATGGAGTCTATAAGGAATAAGAAATAGCTAAGAGCTAAATAAATAGAAAATCACTGCTAGAATTGCAGTCTGACAGATTTTATAGTTTGCTACTCTGAGTTCTCCTTAAAGCACTGTTTGGTGTTTTTTTTTTTGTTTGTTTGTTTGTTTGTTTTGTTTTGTTTTGTTTTTTCAATATTCTAGGTTGCTATTCAAACAATTTGCTTAATGTATTAAGACAGTGATGCTTCTCAAAAAGACATCAGTTACCTCAAAAACAGTTCTCATAGATTTCAGAGATGTAGTAGTAGTAGATGGCTGCATCTACTGTTTCAATTCCAGACTAACAGATTTTATTTAATTAAAAACAAGAAGCCTGCAAAAGATTATTAAATCTCTCCAAGACTGGAACTTTACAAAGGGAAGTTGACAATCCCTATTCACTTGATATGCTATTCAGTGCATGGAAAGCAGAGGCTTAGCCTATCTTCAAGCTCCTGCTCTGTCTCTGCATGGTAAATAGCCACTAAAACTCCATCACTCGGTTGATTATGTAATTACTTTAAAGTCAACACTGAACAAATACTTTCCTGAAGCTAAGCCCAAAAATTAAAAACAATCATTGCCCTATTTGAGAAGAGCAGGAGTTTGTTCTTGTCAATTGCAGCTGGCAGCAAGTTTAAAATTACTGTTTCTGGTAAACAATGAGTATTTTATTTCATTTTATTGATTGAAAAAGTCCAGTTTAAGCAGGGAGATGCTGCTAATGTGGCTTTGCTTGAAATGCTTCTTAAAACCACACTGCCTTATGAATATTTGGAGAAAGTAAATGGTTACTGAGATATTTCCAGCTTAATCATAAATGGTTCCAATTAGACATGAAGCAAACTCAAAATGTAGAATTTATGTGCAGTTAAGGAACACCACATCCTTTGCAAAGCATCCTAAAGTTAACTTCTCTATTTAACACATTAAATTATCCCTAATTGCACACTTGACCAAAGGAATAAGCCTCTTTTAATCAGTCATTCACATGAAGTGTATTTGCTTTACAAAATGGTAGACTGATCAATGCAAACACTGGTATTTCGTACTAAAGCATGATATATAATACTTTAATCATGAGATAGAAATTAGAATAAAATTTAATACTGTTAAAATAGTGGAGATCAAGAACTACTGTTCCCACTGGCATAATTTTTAGTCGTGCTTAGTATATTATGATAAAGTATTTTGCAATCACAAAGCAATTAAATTAGAGATTGATTTCAAAAATTACTTCCCTGATGACTTTAGACAACTATCTATCTTCTGGAGTAGGAACCCCTTTCTCCTACCTCTGTCAATGGCCATTTTGATTACAACTTCAATATAAATCTGAGAATGAAACAAATGCTTTTTTTTTTTTTTTTTTTTTTTTTTTTTTTCTTCCAAAATCTGAATGCATCAATATTTAGTCTGCTCTTACTATACCAGACAGGAAGGAGTCTCTAAACATGGGATTGCCAAGGCTCTTCTCAGCAGATTAATAGACCTCGACTGGCTTCTCATGATTCGTAATTCACACATGCATAAAGCATAGACTTCACAGTCACAGATCCTATAGTGTTTTTCTGTGCCTATTATAATGCCAGGTTTTCTGTGCTGTCCTGTCATCACCCCTATGAACAATGCTAGTCTCAGACAATTTACTTGGCAAACCTTCAGGATAATCCGTGTTTTGTGTTTTTGCAGTGTGCCAGCAAAGTAAATGGTGGTCTGTACACTACCACCAAAGACTATCCTGATGAAGCTGTCCATTTTGCCAGGAGTCATCCATTGATGTATCAGCCCATCAAGCCTGTTCATAAGAGACCAATTCTAGTAAAAGCAGATGGGAAGTACAACCTTAAGCAAATAGCTGTGGACAGAGTGGAAGCTGAAGACGGGCAATATGATGTGTTGTTCATTGGCACAGGTAAAATAAAGAAAACTACAAATACAACTGTTTCAACAGGTTTTTGAAGTCCAGGATGAAGGAAATTTTCTAAAGTCAAAAAAAAAAAAAAGCATTACAACAGCCCTCTCTGACAATAACTCTGGTCATGACTGAGCCAATCTGCACTCATAACCTTACAGAAGAGGGTGGTCATTCTACACTGCTGTTACTTCACAGAAAAATTGTGGTAGGAAAAACTTCTAAAGAATAAGAACAGAGACTAAAGTATAGAATTTACCAGCAACATCATCCCAAAAAAGTAATCTTGATACAATTTCTGGAATTTTTAAAACTTCACAACACAGTCATGTATCTAAACATTCTCAGCTGGGATTTAGATTCTGGGAGAAACACAGGTGATATGATCTTCAAAAACATCAGTTCAAGTTTATTCCAATTTTTATCTTTCCCATTTCTGCAGTCCACAAGTCTGTCTAATATTGTTAAAAAGAAACTGACAGCTTCTAGGCTTGGGTTTTGACACAGCTCAAGGAAGGAAGGTAGGTATACTCAAGTGTATAGTTAAAAAAAAATATATTAGAAAATTTCTGCCAAGTTTTCTTGTCTTTCCATTACACTGTTTTCAAAATTTACATAGAGCTTATTTAAATTGAATTTTTTAAACACCTACCAAAAGTAAGTATAAGATAAATTACATTACAGGGGTATGGTACAGAGTTGCTGTAACCCTAAGCAGCTAGAGAAGAAAAAAAGCACATTCTAATGGTATTTGAAAAATAAGAAGCCTTCAGAAAATAAGAGCAAAACTTAGAACTAAAGATGACTGGTCATGTCTAATCTGCTTGGAAAAAATCCAAGGATTCATATATTCAGATTTTATCAAGTTGACAACAGGAGTGGTGACACAAATCATTTTGACTATTTTGACTAGGCAAGCATATACTGATAATTATTTTTTACTTAATGAAATGCCTCTGATAAGCACTTTTCAGTGCTGAAAACACTCAGAAGAAGCATACTCATAGAAAAGCAAAAGCTTATTTATACTAGTTATGTATTCCAAGCTTTTAAATTGCCTCAGTACAGTCTCAGCACTGGATTTAGTGTGGTCTATAAAACATTGTGTCATATATCACCTATGTCTCTAATGCAGATTTAATAATGGTTACTAGGTTTTTCATATTTATCACTCTTGCATTTATGATTGAGATGTCAGATATTTGTACACAAGTCCTCTACTCAGCAAAGTTGAAACTAATGAGATTTAAGTACGCACTTCAGGGTTGTTCTGAACTGGCACCCAACAGCTGCTTAGTTTTGAGATGTCCAATCTCAGATGACAAGAAATTTCATCATAGGAATTTGACCTTTAGAAACTGTAAGTCAATTTCTTCAATCTATGTTCTGGCAAAGTTCCTATCAGGAAGCTCCTTGCTTCTCTTGACAATATAATATTAGAAAGAGTTAATCCTCTTTTATCTGACTCCAGCACCTTCTATGTAATATTTGTAAGCAGTCTTAAAGCTCAGCGAAAGCTTCCTTGAGGCAGAACTGCACGTTAGAAAGGTTTTTCAAAGCAGAAGTGTGAACACCCGGACTAACTTTCCACATATCTGTCAGCAATATTGAAGAATCATAGAATCATTACGGCTGGAAATAGCCTGTAAGGTCATCTGTTCAACCATCCACTCATCACCAGTATTACCCACTAAGTCCCTAAGTACCACGACAGTAAACAAGAATTGCTTATGAAAATCTGAACTCAAACTGTATTTTTTTTACTGATTCATCACAAAATGTATGTCCTTAGATATTCTGTTTGAGAAGAAGTTCCCCTTTATGTTTGCATCTTTGATCTTTTGCTGAACATTTTTTTCCATTCTTTGTCTGCTCAATATTTCACCTGTAAATCAAAGGTGACAGAAAGTAACATAAGAAAGGAGTTGGTAGCTGCCACTGTTGATGACAAATTTTCAGATTAAGGAAAGTAAAATGCTTTAATAACAGTCAACAAGACAAAGCTGAAACAGTGGAAGATCAGAAGACATTCTTGTGTTTTAATTTCCTAAAAGAGTTGTGCTGACAAATAAACCAATAGATCTAAATTTCAAAGTGCCTTAAATTTTTTGAAAGTATAATTTTTATTTGCTTATCTTTCTTTTATTAACACCTTCAGCTCAGCAGCAGCTCAATGAGAGAAAGAGGACTGCATATAAGGAATCCTTGAATTTGTTGGTGTTCTTGCCTGGAAGAATGGAGCAGCTGTGAGAAATTAAGGATAGTTAGTAGTTTCCTAACTAGTGTCAACACTCAAGTCCTATAATTAAAACCACTTAACACTCCCATGATTTGATGGACTCCCATTCCTACTGTAATTTCTTTATCTCAGACATGATCACTGTTTTTGTTCTTTTTGCAGATCACCAAGTGTTACGACCTAGACTTTGAAAAATACTAGCTAATTTGTCGTGTATCTCAGGGATGTCTCAGATGGCTTAGTTGCCAGATAGGCCAGAGCATGTCACGGTGTCTTTGGAACATATTAGTATATGTGATTATTTCCTAAGATTAATATGTGTGTCCTGTAGCAGTTATTTAATTACTTTGAAGGCCAAATAAAAGTTTCCATAATTTTTATTCCAGCATTTTTATGTTTGTTTTTTTTTTTCCCAGATAATGGAATTGTGCTGAAAGTCATTGCAATTTACAATCAAGAGACAGAATCAATGGAAGAAGTGATTCTTGAAGAGCTGCAAGTATTCAAGGTGAACCATGCTGTATATGAAGCATATTTAAAACTGTCTTAAAAAATTTTCAGTTAATTTTTTAAAAATGTGACAAACATCACATAGCAGTTGTCTGCAATAATTTTTCTAATTGTCTATTTTAAGACACAAATTCTTCATTTTCTGCTGTTTTTTTTCAATAAACTTGTTAGGAACTATGTTTTGCTATTGCTCTAGGAAATCTGAACAGAGGGCAGAGAAAAGTATGAGAAGAAATTCCTGTTATTTTTAATCTTATCTTCAATTAATGTTTTGTTATGAAAAACATTCCACTTATCACTTTCATTTAGGACAAAATTGATGGCATGAGATAATATTATGTTTGACAGGAAAACTATAGTGTTACTGTGACTCTTATAATTCTGAAATAAGTGTTGGCTTGTCATTTTTAAATAAACCATTTTAAAGCAGTACTTCCCAAAACTACAATTTCCTCACATCTTTCTGTAGGATTAGAAATTAGAAAAAATGAAAGTATCTAGCAGTGATGAATACAAGTAAACATCAATGCTATTTTGCCTAATTTATTCTCATAGTAAAGCCACGTTATTTTTTCTAAGCAAGGATGTTTCCTATTTTTCAGGTGCCAATTCCTATTATTTCCATGGAAATCTCTTCAAAAAGGGTAAGTGATGAGTTTCACATACAAAAATTGTGACTCAGATGTTATAAAGCTAAAACCATTAGGTTAGAGAGATAGACAGACAGACAGGGATCTAGCTGCACATAATCTCTAACAAGATCTGGTCTGAAAACATCAAATTGTTTTGTAATGCAAGTTCTGGTTTTTGTTCCTTTATGAAGCATTTATGTTTTCCAATTCTAAGATTACATCTGTTAAATCAGTCTGTATTTTACATGTATTGTTCACGCAAAAACAAGTAAAAAAAGCAATTCGATCCATGAGAGATCAGCAGAGAATCACTACAGGGATTAGCTTGGTGGATATGACAACTCAAGGAAAAGCTCCTTGCTGATAAATGCAATATAGACTTCAGCTCTATGGCAATCTAAGTTCTAAATAAGCCTTAGCGGATGTCCCATATATTCAGTTGCCAATGAAGGCAGAGCTGTTTGGACCTGACTACCTTCAGAGTTTCTGCTAGCCTCTCCTAATACAAATTACAGTTACTATTCTTGTAAATAGATACTCATCTGTACCCTATCGTAGATATGGACCCATCTCAGGATGGAGCAATATAAACATCCCAGGATGCTTATTTCTTAATGTAGACAACTATTGCAATGTAAGTGCATAGAAATGCAGTGAAACAAAACTGACAAAGAAGGAAGATTGCTTTAGTAGTAGGTTGATTGTACCCCAAAGGTCATTTTAGTTTTAGTGGCTAGTCAACTTGCATTTTTTTGTAGTTAATGTAGAAAGACAAACTCCTCTGATAATGATTTGGGTGAGGATCCTAACTTAATGTTTTTTTCTGAATTATTTCCTGGATCAATTTATTGTATCCATAGACATTGAAAGGAGCTCCGGAGACTAGGTTTCCTAACGTTGGAACTAAGTGAATGTTTTGTAGAATCACAGAATAGTTTGAGCTGGAAGGGAGCTCGGAAAAAAAGTATCATTTCAAATATTTCCTTATTTGCACTCAGAGAAATTTCATAGTAAACGGATTGTGCTGGAAGACTGAGAAAGAGATACTGTATTAAAAGAGAAGTAGTCTGCCTCCATTATACCCAATTCCCAAGAGGTCTGCTAACTCTACAATTTCAAGAAGCACCTGGAAATTATGGAGAGAATAGTAGAAGAGTCATCAAAACTATTCAGTAGTTGAATAATAAACGTCCCTGCAGGCAGCAAAAGCAGCTGTACTTTTTCAACATATTAAAGAGAAGAGGAAGAGACAATTGGGCATCCAGACATAGAATTTTACCCAACCTAGTGACTTGCTGTTGTAGCAAAGGAGGGGGAAGGCTTTGAACACTGATTTCAAAGCAATAAAAGTAAATTCAGATTTCTGAATATAGACAAATTTAATCTAGAAATAGCATACAGTTTCCTGGCACTAAGGAAAATTAAATGTTGGAATGTGTGTAAAGGGCTGGCGCAAAATCATTTTGTATTTAATATTAGATTTGTGCACAGAAGTATAATTTAGTTAGTTATAATTTATGTGAAAAAAAAAAAAAAAAAAGTTATGCAATTTCTCTGCCCAAATATTTTTTCTAGTCTGCTTTAACTGTGGAGTTTGTGAGCCTAGCCTATAGGGATCTCTTGCTAGCTTTGTTTCAACAACCCCATAGCATTCACTAGTCTTCACTATGCCAGTGATATAATAAAATATCTTATTTCAGGCTTGAGCTGTTTATCTTTGTGGCTAGGAGAGAATGTTCTCCTCTGATATTCTGTTTGCTAGATATCAGATGCTTTTTGCTGTTCTCTGATGAATCAAGCTGTACAGTAGATCTTACTCTTTTTAACAGATGAAAAAGAAAATTCCACTTTTCATGTGTCATTGAATGTGCTGTTCACATCTTCTGGGACAGTCATGTTGCAGCTTTGGCAGAAGAGAAAGAATTCCCCTCTAACAAGGATCTTATGTTTAGTTATCAGATTGAGTTCCTGTTTATCTGTATTATCTCAGCTGAAGAAGAATTCAAACATTGCTGTTACCAGCCTCTCTGTTCTCTTCCACGGGCATTTCTGAGAGTTAAGAGTTAAGTTCTGAGATATAGAAGAGGTGTAACCAGGGACAAGAATTAACTATTAAGATTAAATTTCATGGTCTGTGATAGGCAAGCCAGGTTAAGTGAGCTAACTGCATTTTCCAGCTTTAAACAATTTTAATATAGCATTCTGAAAGCTTGTGCTTTGTTTGGCCATTTGGATAAACCCAGCCCAGTGTTCATAAGGAATCCTTTTTCTGATTGGAAAAACAGTGGAATTGAGCCGTGCAAAAGCAGTTCCTATTGCAGTGCATATTTCCGTGTTCAGTCCATCTTCAGTCACCAGTAAGAAGATTTTTCTCAAATCCCTGTAAACTCAAGATGTTCTTTTCTGAATTATCCCATCAACTTCTGAATCACACTGATCATATTTCATTTGCTTTGTAAAGGAAAACTTACATGACTGAAGCACTCTTAGTGTTAATGCTGACGAAAAAAAAATGTGAAGAAGATAAAGTGTGACCAGTTTATTTGTAAGAAAAGACTGAACACTAGCAGAAAAAATATCGACATCCTTTGTACTGAAGGATTATATAAATCATAGTGCTGCAGTGCATTTGTATGTGTGAACATATTGTACATCAAGAGTTAAATATGTACCTGATAACTCCAGTTTTAAGATTGAGGTTGCTTACAACTTTTTCAAATATGATCTTTCATTAATATTGTATGTCAAGTTTTTTTTTTGCAGATTGGTTAGGTGACAGAATTGTAAGGAGGGAAGCACTGGAAACTACCTTGAGGAAGAAAAAGAAATGTATAAGTCTCTGTTTAAACACAAAGCTTACAAAGCTGAAACTTCAAAAGCGAGGAAATGCCAAACCATATTTATTCATTCTAATTTCCTTCTGTTCCTCCGTCCTCATGCATGAGAGTTTAGACTGTTGACAGTTTTCCTACAGAGTAACTCTGCCTCCCTCAGGTCATAGACTGGATGCACAACAAAGCTGAAACTAATATGTCTTTAAAACTCCACTTGTTACAGAAGTTGTATTGGAAGTTCTAGCATCTTAATCATATGTGTTATACTTTTCCAGCAACAGCTCTACATTGGAACTGAATCAGTTATAGCACAAGTGAAGTTTCACCAGTGCGACATGTATGGCACAGCCTGTGCTGACTGCTGCCTGGCTCGAGATCCCTACTGTGCTTGGGATGGCATCTCCTGCTCCCGGTACTACCCCACAGGAATGCAGGCAAAGAGGTGAGAACTGCTTCTTTCTGTAGAATCTGTCTTGTGAAATAGGTTTAGAATGGTTCCTAATACACTGAGGGATTTTTACAAAAGATGAAGCCCAAAGTTTTGAACTAAATGAGTACCATAGACAAATTACATGAATAAACCATAGATGATGGGAATAATATGTAAGTGTACATATAATAAAAAGCAAGATAGGACAAGGTAATTAGTTAGGATGTGTAGAAATTGTGGAACCTGAGCATGATGTAAATAGTATGGAATAAGGGGTGGATATTGTCTTAATTTCAGCTGGGACAGAATTCTTTTCTTCTGAGTTTCAGATATGATGCAATGTTTTGGTTCTAGCAGAAGAACAATGTTGATACCACATCAATATTTATAGCTGCTGCTAAGCATTGCTGTACAGAGCCAAGGTCATTCTCAGTGAAGGGCCCAAAGAGTTGGGAGGGAACAGAATTACGGCAGCTAACATAAACTAGCCAAAGGGATATTCCATACTATATGACATTATGCAGGAGTTTTAAAGGGGGTGGAAGTTTATATAGCTCTCTTCCACTGCTCAGAGAGCTGCTTTCACATCAGTTGGGGGGTGGTGAGTAATTTCTTGTGCATCGCTTGTTATTTACATTTGTCATAACTATTATGCTTTTCCTTTTCTCTATCTTAGTGAGTAGTTTTGTCTCAATCCACAAGTTCTACTTTGTTGTTTTTTTTATTCCCTCCCCCATCCCAATGTGAAGGGGTAGAGTGAGCAAACAACTGTGTGGTGCTCAGCCACCTGCCAGGTTAAACCACAACAGGCATAAACTGCATTACAAGGAATAATTCATGAATGAAACATATTTATTATGAATTCATGAATGAAACTTTATTATTATGACTACTTAGTTGTTATTTTAAGAAAGTTTTAAACAAACCTCAATGTCCTTTAATTTCTTTTGGTCAGCAAAGAAAAGATGGATGTTTCATTCTTTATAACATCAGGGATGTATTTTGGCAGTATTTATATGGTAAAGATATCACAAAGCAATAACATATTTAACAAAATTTGGGGAAAAGAAAAAAAGAAGGAGAAGAAAAATAAACAAGAATCTGGTAGCCACACACTTCCAACCAGTGAAAGTAGGATGTTAGCAAAAGCTGAGTTTAGGTGAATTTATAAATTCAGATTGTTCTGGAGGTCCACTCAAATCATGAACCTAACTTGGATGCTTTAACAACCCTGGGCAGACTTCTCTCCATTCCAAATTGCTCTTTTATGGCTTCTGGCCCTCATTCTTTGTGCAGTGATTTCCCATATACCTATCATCTTACCCTCCCTCTCAAACCCAGGTTCTCTAATTCAACAAAGATACCTGATCTAACATATAAAACATGTATAATTTAATCCAGACCTTTTCACAGCACTTCTAAAAGATAACAAATGCAGAAATTGTTGGATAAGGTGGCTTTTTGAGAACTGAGCATTAAAAAGTCAAAAGGAGAAATACAGCCAATGCTAGCATACTTCAAAATATCCTGGAGTTATTACACTGAGGGACAGGTAGGAAAGCTATGCCACTTTTACAAGATTATATAGTCTTCTCATGTCTCTTGCAAGCAGCCCTATGGGAGGACATAGACTCTGGTTTCCTGCTCCATATGAGAAGACCTTGGCATCAAATTAAGAAAGATGAGCAGATGGGCCAAGCAGATTTATGTCCTACAATGTATATATATAAATTGGATTATTGTAATCATAATGCTTATGGGTAAGTTATCTAAGTCATAAAAACCATCTGGGGAAGAGAGTAAAGGGATAAAAGGCTGGCTTTTCTACCAGCCTGCTTAGGCTGCACTCACATTTATGTTATTCTGCAGGTTGTTTATTGTCCGTGAAAAGATAAGAGAAACTCGCTCACTCCTTAACTCAGTTTTAGCACATTTTTAGCATATTTCTCACCTAAGACAACTTCCAGAGTAGCAGCCCCTAAGTTCCCTGACAGATGCATTTATCCAGGGTTCAGTGATATGGGCAGTACCCCAGGCACCTTCCTGTGCCTTGCCTCCCTAGCATTCATCAGGTCAGTCTCCAAAAGAAGAAAATAATTCTCTTATCACCCTCCTGCTCTCGAGATAAGAGCTGCAGAAGTGAAGAAGAGATTTACACTCTATTGAATGTTCTGAAGGTCTGTAAAACTTATTTTACATGTAAGGGTTTGGAGAACAGCCAGCAAGGACCCTTAATACTGAAAAGAATAGATAGTATTTTCTTTGTTCACTTTAACTAGCTCAGAACATCTTCATAGTTATGAGCTGTGCAGTAGATGGCAAAGCAAAGAGAGCTCCTCAGGACACACATACAGAAGTTGTTTAATCTACCTTCTGCTGGGATCCAGATGGAACCATTGCTAGGAAGGGAAGATCTCATGAGACAACATGGAGTTTTCTATTTCTTGGTTATAAGAGTTATCATTTCCTCAGGTGATAATCCTGCCATTGCTCCAGACACAACCGATGCCACACCCCGGAGTAGACACCTCTTTATTTCCCTTAGCCTTGTCTTAGAGTATGGTTTAGACTTTTTCACTAGTTGTATAGGGTGGGCTTCTGAATTGTAAGAGCAGCTGTTGCTAGAGCAGTTAAGAGCACTAAGAGATCTCTTTTAATTCCTGTCTTACTGGTGTTGAACTGAAGATACACAGTATATCCTGCTCCCATTTGTTCTCATGCTCTCTGCTTTAGAGCTTAATGCCTGCAAGGTATGAGAAGTGTTTAGAGAAGCATGAAATAGAAAACCTGTAAACTAAGGCACATGCAGGATGTAGAGAACTGCAGCAGAAATTTGAAAAACAAAAAAACAAAAAAACACAAAACACATAAGCAACCCACTGGTTGGCAGCTGGTACTAATTTGTTTGATTTTGAAAGACTATATTTTAATTCCTTGGAAATGCATAGTCTTTATAATTAATTAAATATGGGACTTAATTAGGGAGACTTAAAAACTGAGCTAAGAGTCCCATAACCCAGTGCTGGCAGTGCAGAATATTACAGTGTCACAGTAGTTACAGGTGAGCAACTCTGGCATGCTGCAGATATTTTAGATGCCAGAAAAAAATTATTTTGCATTTCACTTCAATGCAATATTCTTTGGAAAGCAGAGTTCCAGGATTTAAATAGCTCTGTTAGTTCACTGTTACCTCAGTAATCTGATTTAGGCAGGTTCAGTTTTTATCCAAACAAGCACTAAATTCCACTGATGAGCTTATTTGCTATGCTAACAATTTAGTATTTTTCCTAAGTCTCCATATTGCTGCTGCAATGTGGTTTGCCTTTCACAGCATTGATCAAGCTGATAGGCAAAAGAATATTTCAAGCATTCAGTTGCTTTTTAACTTTCTTCTTATAATGCTTTGAAAAATATCTTAAATTGTCTTGCCTTAAATTATATGCTGTCATTTGAGTAAAACGCTTTGCACAGAAAGGATCTGGGTGATAACTTAAATGTCACTCTACTGACACTCTGTTGTCACTGCTCCCCATTCCTTCCTATTCTTGAAACAGCACTGAAGTGAAGGTACAGGTAAATGCATCTTCCCTCATCTCCATCAAAATGCCACCAAAGAAATATTTATTTCTCCTGAATGGCTCCAACAACTGGAAAAATATTGTTATTTTGCAGAACTAGGATTTTTTTAGTTCATCAGGAAGAGTACTAAGTACCTACCTACTCACTGTCCATTTCCTATCAAACAGTGCTGCCTCACAGTGAGGTTTTCATCTTTATTTGTTTTTTTCAAGGTTAATGTCAATTTTATTTGTGCATATTTGTGCAAGAGAATGAGTCTTATGAATAATCTATATACACTGATATGCAAAGCTGGTAGTACTACCACTAACACTTAACAGAGTTATCAGTAAGCACAGCTACCACATCTTTACATTAAAATGAAAAACCCCAGAATGAATTAAATGCTATCACTGAATATCAGCTTCTATTTAAAAGTATGGATTTTTAACACCTAGTCTGCCTAGAGGTCCCCATGTTTTCTTTGCTGAGAGATTCTACCACATGCCTTATTTTCTTTGCTGGAGATTCTACCACATGCCTTATTACGCTCACATCCACTGTTTGGTCTCCATGAATTTCCAGTAATCATTGATGGGTGCAGTATTTTCCACACAGAGGAATTCAGTGACACGCTTTTGCTTCATACGTACTTCCACGTCAGGTACCATTCTGTCAGACTGCTTCTCTGGTGCCATCTGTCTCACAACAACAAAATGTAATGGAATACAGGCAGGAAGGTTGATCTCTACTTCCATACTACCAATATCCACCTCTGACATTGTGGGCCAACATCATAAAATAGAAGGAGGTCCTAATAATTTCAATAAAGTCTATTTGTGCCTATTATTAAATCTGCCTTGTGAGTATTCATATAGAGTTGTTTGAAACAAAGAATCATAGAATCCTTGGAATGCCCAGGTTGGAAGTGGTCTCTGAGATCATCTAACCTTTCATGATAAGTGCAGGACCTAGGCAAGACTGTCTAACACCTTGTCTAGATGAACTTTAAAAGCCTTCTCTGTTGGAAGATCTTTTTTTTTCTTATAGATGCAGTCATACGTAGGTTGAGATAAAACATAAATGAGTATCTTTCTCAAAAGTGCTACATTTTTAGGAACCAAGATTTAGCTCTTTATGTTTTTAGTGAATACCTACTCATCATACACCAACAATCTCTGTGCCAAGCACATTTTCTCAAGGAATTTTATTTTTCCTCTCCAGACGCTTCCGCAGACAAGACGTACGACATGGAAATGCAGCTCAGCAGTGCTTTGGTCAGCAGTTCATTGGTAATCTACTCACACCTTTACAAACTGTTAGCAAATACCTGGCACAGAAAGTACAGATTTTGGCAAAAGGCTATACGTTGTCATTTTTATCCAGATAAAAGATTTAATTTGTGGTTATACTTGAACATATATTATATCCTTCTGTTTAAGTGACTGAAAATCAAGTAGCTGAACAGCTGATAAGAAACAGCCGCAAGCAAATAGCAGTATGAAGGGCTGAGACCTGTTTCTTTGTGTGTGGAATCATGGCCCAATTTGCTCCACTTGCTTTATGGCCATCTTCTATGAGAGTCTGAGATGATGGGAAAATTCTCTTAGTAAGTCAGACTTTCACCAGGTGCTGCTTAGCAATAACTATGTGATTGGATGTAGATTAAATTTCAGTCTTAAAAGTAAGTCCAGCCTGAAGTCAGAAGGTGGCAAGAACTGTCAGAAACAAATTGACCTATATGTGACGTATTTTTTAAAACATTTCCCTCCAGGAGAAGTCTTGGAGAAGACTGAGGAGCGATTGGTTTATGGAATAGAGTACAACAGCACCCTTCTGGAGTGCACCCCTCGAACCTTACAGGCAAAAGTAATCTGGTTTGTCCAGCGAGCCCATGAAACTAGGAAGGAAGAGGTAACTATCATTAAATCCTAATCTTTTAATTAGTTAAGCACATGGTTAGGAACATTGCATCTTCACTGAAAGGCCTGTCATCAGTTGCTGAAATGTGCATGAGTATAATGGAAGATCATGATATTCATCTGAGTCATTATGCTTCACTGAGTTAATAGACTTGGTCATTTCATTTGGTGCATGAGTTCAGCATCATGAAATTGAATAACTGAATAAATATTTGAAATGTAGCTAAACTTGTTAAGGTCTCAAAACAAAAGAGAATCTACCATTTCACTTAATATGTTATCGCATAGGTGAAAAGTGTACATATTATTCCCAATGTTAGACTTGCTTAGCATTTGTTAATTCTTGCTGCCCCACCCATTACATCACAAAGCCTTCTGAAAATGGATTTTGGTGATTCTCTGCTTCTTTTATATATGTTGCCTAATTGTAAAAGTTGGACCAGATGGCCTTTAAAGGTCCCTTCCAATTCAAACAATTCTGTGATTCTATGATAATTCCTACACCTCATAACTGTTACCATAGAACTGACATGGTACACATCAGTGTAGCTAGCCTTGTTTAGTATATGGGAGCAAATAGGAGAAAAACCTCGGACTATCACAGGGTATAATTGTTTTCCTTGTTGCCTAGCAGCTAGGCTCTGCTGCAAACATGAGACCCCAGCTCATCTGCAGACTGAGTCTGAGGAGAGAGATTAATCTGATACTGAACGTGGACATTTAGAATAAAGAGATCTAAGTAGGTTCTAGTCTTTGTAGGTTGTCATCAATGTCAGAGCAATTTTTGTTGCAGATATAGCCCATAGTATCATCTCATATTAAACTAGACATTTTCATTTCATCATTGACTAGGCAAGCTGTTGAATACAAAAGTAAACAAGGATGCCACATGCATCTGTAGATATTTAAAATGAACACATTTCTTCCTGATGTTTCAGTCTAGTCTCAAATCCCAGCATAGTTCTTCACATTTTGTATTTTCCCATGTATTTTCCTAGAAGATCCCAATCCACTAATCATAATTATTCTTACAATAAAGAGACCTGGTCTTTCAGTCTTTAATGAAACCTGAGGATTTTTACTGGGGAGGTAGGAGGAGGAGATGTGTTGTGTTTCCTTTTAGACTTAGCATCTCAGATACTAAGGAATAGAAGTGTAAATTCAGACTCTAAAGTTTCAGTACATTTTTATACTACTAGGATGAATTTATTTTAATGCTTTTCTTTTATATTTATTCCATTTTACATGAATAATTCTATCGTCATTAGAAAAAGATGATCCCAAGCAGAGAGAAGCACTTCTACCAAATATTCAGGATCTTACTGTTAAATGAAAAGATAAGGATTCCATTCTGCTGGGCATTTCTGCTGGCTGGTTCAGACAGCTGTATGCTCTCTGCATATCTGCATGTCTGAATGCCCTGTATTTAATAACTTAGTTCTCAGAAACTGCAGGGGGAATTCCAACATGACACTCGGAACTGAGGCTTCAAGATCATGATGGTCCTACAGTGAGATTTCAGGTTGGGCATTAAGAAAAATTTATCTGAAAGAGTGTCAGGTGTTGGAACGGGCTGCCCAGTGAGGTGGTGGAGTTACCGACCCTGGAGGCGTTCAAGAAACGATTAGATGTTGTACTGAAGGATACAGTGTAGTGGGAAATATTGGTGATATGTGGACGATTGGACTGGATGACCTTGGAGATCACAGAATCACAGAAACACAAGGTTGGAAACGACCTGCAAGATCATCCAGTCCAACCACCCTCCCATTCCTATCAGTGCCAAAAGCTACTAAACCATCTCTCGTAGTTCCTCATCTAGGCACCTCTTGAACACTGCCAGGGATGGCGACTCCACCACCTCCCTGGGCAGGCCATTCCAGTGCCTGACCACCCTCTGAGAGAAAAAGTTTCTCCTAATATCCAACCTAAACCTCCTCTGGTATAACTTCTTGCCATTTCCTCGGGTCCTACTATTTGCCTGGGAGAAGAGGCCAGACCCTTTTGCACCACAACCTCCCTTCAGGAAGTTGTAGAGTGCAATGAGGTCTCCCCTGAGCCTCCTCTTCTCCAGACTGAACAATCCCAGCTCCTTCAGCCGCTCCTCATAAGACTTGTGCTCCAGACCCCTCACCATCTTTTCCAACCTTGGTGATTCTGTGATTCTATGATGTGAAAATGTCTGTGAGTGTTGCTTCAAAAACATTTGACAATTTAAAAGAGCATTCACATGGATAATTATGGCAGGTCAGCTGACAAAAGCCCACGTGTTTTCCATCCAGAAGTTCATTTGAATGTTTCAACCTAACTTCTTTCTGTGATTTAGCCACGAATGACTAACCCATGCTGGGAAAGCAGAACTGTGTGCTCCACTGTCTGTTCGGTCATGCTTGCCAGATTTTGTAGACTGCTTTCCTTTCACAGCTCAACTTCTTCTTCAAGTAAATATTTTATTTGCTTACAAACAGTGAAATAAAGGGTCTTGGATCCTTAATCTGCCTCTTAACATTTAATATTATATTCCTGAAAGTACTTTTCATTAAAAAAATGCACCAATGAAATACAATAATGCACTCTCCTCTATGCAACTATCTCTTTTCAGGTGAAGACAGATGATAGAATAATCAAAATGGACCTCGGCCTCTTATTTCTGAAGCTGCATCGGCTGGATGCAGGGACTTATTTTTGTCAGACAGTGGAACACAGCATAGTTCACACTGTTAGAAAAATCACCCTGGAAATAGTCGAGGAAGAACGTGTAGATGAAATGTTCAGTAAAGACTACGAGGAGGAGATATCTCACAAAATGCCGTGCCCAATGCAGAGCAACATACCTCAGGTATCAAAACCATGGTACAAAGAATTTCTTCAACTCATAGGTTACAGCAACTTCCAGAGAGTGGAGGAATACTGTGAAAAAGTTTGGTGTACAGATAAGAAGAGAAAAAAGCTGAAAATGTCTCCATCCAAGTGGAAATATGCCAATCCTCAGGAGAAGAAGGCAAGAATCAGGCCAGAGCACTACCGGTTGCCCAGGAACATAGCTGACTCTTGATGGACAAAATCCATCTTCTGTTTCTGGGCAAAATTTTATTTGGACTTCAGTAAGAGGGAAAAATCAGCTTGGTTTTGGTAAATGAAACAGGTTTATATGTATAAAAAATCAGGACTGAAAACAAATATGCTATGGTAAGTTATACCGTACACTCATGACTGTTTAGAAGCATTTTACACAAAATTTTATCTGTTTCTAAGTAGGTCAGTGCAATCAGAGTTTTGCTTTAGGAAGGATGTGACAATCTTCAGACTTTGAGTGCTTGAATCAGTTTCCTGTGTGGACCATGCTTGTGCTGTATATTGTTGCATATGATGGCATATTTAAGTAAATTCAAATAAGCATTCACAAGAGGGTGAAATATAGAACATGTATCTTTCATTGTTTTCACAAGTTTCTCATAGTTCTAAAAGCAGCATGTCTTAAGATCTTACATTTTGATTGTGACCAGTTCAAATTCATCACTGAGAGCAGTGAGATTTGTTAATATGGTGTCCTGCTTTTCCTAAAGATAATGAAGAGAAACCGTATTTACTTCCCACCGTTATTTGTCTCATCAGTTATTTATAAAGCACAGTGTACTGTTACAGCTAAATAATATTACCTAGTAACTTAATGTAAGTCAGGTGCATGCTGGGAACACAAAGAGAATGAAATTCTTCGACACATCTATACAAAATATTGGAATAATGGTTTAGACAGAAAGCAAGCCTATCTTGTCTCTAATAATGGACGCTGCCTTAACACAAATTAAGCGACTGCCCTCTTGTGGCTAAACAAAGCAAATCCGATGGTATCATATTTTCTCAAGTAACGTGTAGCTAAGTATTCCTAGATCCACAGATGGTTTGTTTTCAGCATATACTTCTCGTCTCCATGTGCCAAATCCACAGATTTAGAAGGTAGTGTTGGAAGTCACTCATCCTGAAAAGACAGCATTTAAAGTAATACTTTATGTCATTAATGTACTTTTGGGATTAAATGCAGTAATACAAAGTTAGGAAGTAGACTGAAACAGGAACAGCATTATGCAGATGCTTTTCTACAGTGTTGTCTGATCCAGGCAAACTTTCCTAATGCATGATCTCTGGTCAAAAGAGCTCTTTTCTGCTCTTGTGATTGATACTAGGAGGAGATCAAAGTAGTAAATTTACAATCTAGGACTTTCAAGACTTTTCCTAAAAATGAAAAAACAAAACCAAACAAACAAAGCAAAAGAATACTTTTATTTGAGCCCAAAAGCAGCTGCATAAAATGTAGAAAATATATCAGTTCACTACTTGGAAAATCTGGTATTACAAAATGGGCTGCATATATAGAAAGAAATACATAAATTAGTGGAAAAGTAGGGAAGTTATAAGCACAAATGAGTTAAAAATGAGTTAACTCCTCAAATAGAAACATGATGCCAGTAGAGTAAATAGCCAAGCTGTTACAGACTTTGATGCTGCCAAGAAAATATACAAAGGATTCACCAGTTGTAATGAGGTTCACGCACAGCTTCAGCTTCTAATCAGAAAGCAGAGTTTTGAATTAATGAGAATTAACATCCTGGAGAACAGAGATCTGCTAGCTTTGCTCTGCTGATGCAGTGGATGGATGCTGATGCAGTGCCCTCCAAGCACTGTGTAAGAGGGTCTCGGAGCAGGAGTAGGGAGCATTGCTGTGCCCCTCTGGAAACTGACTGTCCCAGAGTTTGGAAAGAGCCTGTGTCACACTGCCAGCAAGTGCTCGTAAAACAGCAGATAAGCCTTTCCATCAGCATTATCTTAAGGAGAACAATTTATCAGGAAGTTTGTTTAGCTAGATTGCCTGTCTGAGAGATGGGAATGGACACTGCGCATTGGCTTGCATGAATGTGCAAGGTTGCTAACTTTGATCTGATACAGAAGACTGGTTAAATTCACTTTTCAGTGGCAGTTTAATGGAACTTAGCTCCAGTTATGATCTCTGATTATTTACAACTACATGGAAAACTTTAGCACTAAAGACTATGACAGAGAGAACACAGAATAAGCATTTCTAATTTATATTTGATCCACTGTAAAATTTACCCTGGCATCCCTAAGGCTGGAAAGCTGCTAAAACGCTATTAATATCTTTGGATGAGTTATGAAACCCACTTCTTTTCAGTAGTAATGGGAGTTATATTGTGAGAATAAAGAACAACAGCATCTCAGCCTGATGGGAAAAAATATGACTTTATGCCTCATTCTGAGATTTCAGGTAGAAATCAGGGCGTTATATGTAGACAAGCATTCCTGATTTAATATGAGTGTGTATTTTAGCTCCCCATCCCTTTAGTGGTTACATATGGAGAATTCCATTAAACTTTTAATAAAAGTTTAAATTTCTAGCTCGCACCTTGCAACTTCCCTGAGTATTCACAGCTAAAAGATCTTTTTCAGAGTGCTACAACATCAATGGAAGAGGAGAAAGACTGACAGTAATGTATTTTGGAAGGATACGCTCAAATGTGCTCATACACAATGTTATTTAAAATGCTTCTTTGTATATATGGGGGCATTGTCTGCTTCTTTTCATTATGAGTTTGATGTATTTTGTATGTGCATGAAGTGTTCAAATTAGAAATATAATTAAGAATCACATTTGGCTGACATCATTTGTATTATTTCTCATAATTCAGTTTTACCAGACAATAAGATCATGTGTAGATCACGTGTGTGATCATGAATAGATTTAGTCTTCCAAAGTCAGGTGGATTTGGGAAGGTTATGAATAAAGCAGCATCTGTTACACAGATATATTTTTGAGAGTGGAACATGGCTAAAACCGGAAGATTCTAATTTATAGACATTTATTGAGAAATAACAAGCTGGAAAACCTTTGAGTTCTGCCCTGCTGCTTGATGAAAACAAACAAAATGATTGTGTGGATCTTGTACTAAATACTTAATTTCCTCTCACTTTTCTGTTGTCAATGAGATTATCGCCACTGGTACAAACTACTGTTGTCTCAGACTGCTGGGAGATCTAGTTGGGAGAGTGCTAGCCTGAAGTGAAATTCCTGCCTTGTATGTATCAAAATAGGCCTTTAGGCTATACTCAAATAATAAAACACATTTCTTTATGCAGAACTGATTTATGAAATAGATAAAAATAATTGCCTAATCCAGATGCCCCAAAAGCAGTCATATTGCAGGAAGTGTTGAGTTAACTGATACAGTTAAGGAGTTTTTCTTTTTTTTTTTTTTTATTAATTTTTGGAGAAGAAAATACACTTTTTCTCAAAATGTAGCCAGCCAGTTACTCTTTTAAAAAGTCCATTAATTCCCTTAGTCTGCCTCAGAGCAGTAAAGCTGGAGCTATTAATGCAACTTTATATCTCTAGGTCCAGAAGGTACAAATGCCTTTGAAAGCTGCACTGTCCAGATAAGAGGCACTGAAAGTGAGCTTTTCTACATTTGTAACCCAGCAGGATGGCTGCAATGCCTATCAGCCCTGGAATCCTGTTCAGTTCCCCAAATTACTGTTTTTAAAGGAGAATTCATGTCCTGTTAGCATGAGTATTTATCACAAATGAAGCCACAATTGACAAGTCTTATCTTGGGGTGATACTTTCTCTGCTAATAATGAATTACTATGATTTTTATTTTTTTATGAAATAATTTAACTGACTAACAATATATTCAGGAAAATGGCAGAGCTAGCAGTGTCAGGTGAAGCTACTAGCTATAAGTTAATCAACATTTTACAATTTCTGAACATATTTGCCAAGCATCTACCTAATCCATCACCATAATCCCATTTGTCAAATAGCTTTGCCCGTTTCAGATGATGCACCTTATCAGCACTCGAATTAGATATGACTGTCATGTAATGTGGAACCAGGAAATACATTGTTAAGCTTTTGTGCACGTGCTCATAATTTGCTGAAGTGAGAGCTGCTATATGGAAGTACAGGATTTGACATAGTTAAATGCAATTGGAGCATGGAAGCCTTGGCTGCCCAATTCCTAGATTTCTTGAGATTCTTACTCAGAAAAAGCAGATTTAACTGGAGGAGGGGAAAGGACTATGGAGATTTCAGAAAGTCAGAATTGATGTTTCATTATATCTGCTGGCTAAAGAGCCACAGTGCATGACTTGTTTCAGCAGACCTGCCCAATTGCAACACATGACAAATTCCAGTGAAACAAAACTGTATTACTTGCAATGCTAGTTAGTTCAAATGCAGAATTTTATGGCTTCAGGAATCTTTTTGCACATATTTGGAAAACTTTATTTGAAGTACAGTCTAGGATTACATTTAATGTGGGTGCATGTGTGTACAATATCAACCCTCAGAATATCTCTAGTCAGTTTTGAGAGCTGTTTCAAATTCAGCACATCCAGCAAAATCACACACGTATTTCATGCTGAATTTTTTTTCTCCGTAGCTCTGAAAAATCCCAATGCCCTCAACAAGAATTTCCAACATGTCTGTAAACACATAATAATGTCACATTAATAATAATAATAGTGATATTAGCAGTAATAAACAGCTGCAACAGCTGTCTTCTCTCCCCAATAGTAAGATGAGATTTGCAGACCAATCGGCATGATAAATGGACTATGATCATTTTCTGCATTTTAATTTGCTAGCTGTATTAAAAGGTGCTATTAATCAGAATTTGAAGAATGCACTGCAAACTTTGTGAAAATCAGGTAATGGAAATATTCTATCTTATTGCAGACATACAGATCATCAGGATTTAATGTACTGGTTTTTCTTCTGCTTAAATGTGTTACTTACCACATTAATTTGCAATTGCAAAAAATAATGAACATTTGTTAGTGCTTTTAATGTTCTAATAACTTTTTAGGTACTGGCTGATCTAGTTTCACAAAAGCCACCAGAGGGATGGAAGTACATTTTAGCATCCCTTACTGTAAATTCACAGGAGCAGAAAAGGCCACATCAAGCTCCTCTATGGCACAATGCCGTGTCATGCTGCAGCAGCGTATGAGGTAGTGCTGGGTGAGCAGCAATTGCGAAAACCACAGCATGATGCAACATGGAGAGCCCAGCTTGTGCTCCAAAAGTGTTTTTTGCCCCAGCAGTGTAAGGACAGGTTTGTGGTAACAACAGTCTTTTCCAAGAAGCTTCAGCTTATGGTAGCCTGTGGGAATAGAGATTTTTAGATTGCAACCTATCTGCTCA